TGGGCGAAAGGCTGTTGTGCCTGCCCTGCTGGGTGTCTTGTGGGTGCTATAATGAAAAAAAATAAATCAGTTGTGGTGCTGTCCAAGGACGTGTACAATTAGGAGAATTCTGTTAACGCTGGGAGAGGGGAAGCATTTAGGTTGCAGGAGGGTGGAGGAATTTTAAGCGGGCTTAAAATGTGTTTTGGTCCCTTTACGTGATGGTAGCTTGCTGGGCTGCATGAGTAGTCAGCTCAGAGTTGTCTGTGGGCTTTCGAAAGTGGAATAACGGCTCCGCTGCGTGTTCTCTCTTCAGGCAACACCGGTGAAAGAAGGGACGGACACCTCGCAGGGGATCCCCCAACTCGTCAGCAACATCAATGCTTGCCAGGTTATCGCCGAAGCCGTGCGCACAACCCTGGGACCTCGGGGCATGGACAAGCTCATCGTGGATGACCGGGGTAAGCGGTGGCCCGTGGCCTCTCGCAGCCATGTGGAAAAGTGACTCAGAGAGAATCTCCTGACAGGGCACGTATTCACTCGTATCTTCGCGTCACTTAAAACCAGTATTTGTATATGTGCAGGATTTAACTTCATCACCCCGTGCTAAAGCCTCACAGTAGAGGCTCAGCTTCTGTCTCAGTTCAGTTTAACACCTTGACCCTGGCCTCTGCTGTTGAGGAGAATTATCAGACCTACCTGAGGAACAACCTGTTTGCTGCCTGCTGGCCTGAGCTAGGGAAGCTGTGGTCGAGTAGATCCAGGGTTAGCAGGACTAGATACGAGAAAGTCCATGTCAGATGGCAGAAGCAGCGTCTTGAAACTTGATCTTCAAGTATCCCTGACCCATCTCTTATTTTCTTTTTCAAATGAGACTTGTGTGGAGACTCAGCAGAGTTACTCAGCAGTTGTGGCTGAGCATGAGGTCAGTGGGTGTTCCTGGGGGCACCTTATACTGCCTTCAGTACTTGAAGGGAACCTGCAGGGAGGCTGGGGAGGGACTTTTGACAAGAGTGTCCAGCGATAGGACAAGGGGAAATGGGTTTAAATTGAAGAATAGATTTAGATTGGATCTCAGGAAAAAAATCTTCAGTGCAAGGGTGGCCAGACTCTGCAATAAATTGCCCAGAGAGGCTGTGGCTGCCCCCTCCCTGGAGATGTTCAAGGCCAGGTTGGATGAGCCTGGAGCAACCTGGGCTGGTTAAGGGTGTCCCTGCCCATGGCAGGGGTTGGATTAGATGATCTCTGAGGTCCCTTCCAACCCAAGACATTCTGTGATTCTATGAAAATGTGATTTAGGGATGAGACTGGCCTCCCTCTGAAAAGGCTTGTATGAAGTCACCAAACTATTGTTTGTGGCTTTTTATTGCCATTAGTGAAGAGCAGAGCGAAAGGTATTAGAATTGTCTTTAAACAGCTTTTATAAATAGGAACTTTAGACTTTTAATAAAAAGAATAACTGGATTTAAATTTGCCTTATAACTAATGTGATTGATTTTTAGTCTCTGAAGTGTCACACTAGAAAACGTGGTTTTATATCTTTGGGGGAGACTCTTGAGAAGTTGGAGAGAAATGAATTTAAAGCCCCTGCTAATTAGTGTGGTGAGTTGTGTGCTTGGACCAACTTCACTTCATCCGCTCCAAAAAAGGATGCCGTTAGTGTGGAATGGAGGCACCAGCTGAGGCACCCCCTGTGAAATGACTTTTCTGGGCCCCCTCTCTATCTGAGGGTGACCTCTTCACTTTCCTTTTCAGCCAAGTTACAGTTGCATATCTGGCTGTAGAAGCATTGTTTTAATATTGTGATGATCCCTTTTCAAGTCACAGAGGAGATAAAACAAATGGTCATTTGACTGAAGAAAAATGGCTTTTAATGGAAATTCGGAATGAGAGCCTGTGGTTGTTTAGACACAACAAAATCCACAACGATGCAGGACGAGGTCTTGACTGGGGAGCACTGTAGCTGAATCAGAGAATGGTTAAGCTTGAAAGAGACCTTGAAGATCATCTAGTTCCGGCCCCTCTGCTGTGGGCTGGGATAATAATTGGCTGGGGCCACATTTGACCTGACGGTGAAGCACAGTGAGACTGTCTGGTCTGAAATTAACTCTTGCAGTGACGTATGTGAGCTCTGAAAAGTTCTCTTGGGTGTTGGGGTGCCTTTGCGCAGCAGCCAGGGCTTTGACAGGCAAGGTTGACTTCCTGTTTTACATCCGTCCCAGGCAAAGCCACTGTCTCCAATGATGGTGCCACCATCCTGAAGCTCCTTGATGTCGTCCATCCGGCAGCGAAGACGTTGGTGGACATTGCCAAGTCTCAAGATGCCGAGGTAGGAGGGTGACCTGGCTGTGCCCAGGAGCCTGGTGTGCAGCAGCAAACTTGCTCGCCCTCGTGGTTTTCTGGTGGGAATTGCTTGTGAAGTGCTCGCGTTTAGTTTGGTTTCTGTATTGATGCCTTCTCTTTTGTGACTGCTTTCACATTTTTTACTCTGTTCCATCCAAATCTGATGTTGGGTTTGGAAAGTTCAGATACAGAGTTCATGTTTCATGAACAGAGATGACTGGGAAATGAGACCTCATCCTCAAACGGGGTGTAGTCTGAACCCAGCCCTTAACCATTAAAGAATCCAGCTGCAAATCTCAGCAGAGAAAATTATGAATTCGATTTCATCTGGAAGCCCTTGCGTGGTTTTGATGCTGCTGCTGCAGCAGCTCTGCAATGTGTTGGTCGCACAGAGCGTTTCCTCTCCCTGCAGGTTGGCGATGGTACCACATCTGTAACGCTGCTCGCTGCTGAGTTCCTGAAACAAGTGAAGCCCTACGTGGAGGAAGGCCTCCATCCCCAGATCATCATCCGTGCCTTCCGCACAGCGACGCAGCTGGTGAGGCAGCGCTGCTCGTAGCCGAGGGAGGGCTCAGCTGCTGCTGCAGAGCTGAGAATGGGTACTGGGCTCCACTGGAGTGTCTGGGGCGAGGAGTTCTATGCCAAAGAGGAAAAATAACACACTTCCAGGCAAAATTTAGAAATGAATGGGCCTGGAGAGTGACAGTGGCGAACTCGTGATGTCTTACTGCAAACATCAGCTGCCTTCTTTGGTGTCAGGGAGCTGTTATTACCACTTGATGCCTCTGGAGCGCTCTCGCTTCTTTTGTTTTTTTTTCTCCCAAGGAAGAGTGAATAAACGGGAAAATTAATTTCCTATTCTGCTGATCTCTGCTGCTCCTTAGTAAACCTTACATCTCGTGAAGCCCATCAGTCCCATTAAGCTGAATCTTCTCTGGAGGTTAAGTACCTCAGTACACTTCGGTTCCCCAGATCTCTGCTGAAAGCAGCAGAGCAGCTCTGAGCCTCTTCCCGATCCTCTTAAACTTGTATTGTTGTATTTCTTAGAATTACTGTGCTGGAAGGAGTGGAATGGCTTAAATATTTGAAACCTCAGTGATGCTGCAGTAGGGAATGAAGGATAACAAAATACAAAGAGAGAAACTGGAAATCTGATCATCTTCTGAGCATGAATCATTAATCCAGCTGTTGGCTTGTGTTTTGACAGGCTGTAAACAAGATCAAAGAAATTGCTGTTGCGGTGAAGAAGGAAGATAAAGAGTAAGTTTCCCTTAGAGGTGACCTGGTTGCGTAGCTGGCACGAGGGCATTTCTGACTTCTGATGTGGCCCTGGCTGAGGTCTTGGGGTGGGGCCGAACAGCTGCGGCCCACACCGGGGTTATTCTCAAGCGGTTTTGGGATTTCCCGCTCCTCTGGGGGTGATGCCGTGCTCTCCCTTGGGCTGCGGTGAAATATGTAGGCCGATGTCTTCTAGTGCACGTGGAGGAAGCTAGATACCAAAATAAGTGGCCTGGTTTCTTTTTTCCAGTGATGGTGGAAACTCGCAGCTTTTGCTGCAGTCGCTGGCAGTGTTAGATGCTCAGCGGTTCTCTGCAAATCACTGAGCTTTTGAGCGGTTGAATACATGAAATTAGATAGCTAATAACTGTAAGGAAGTGATCCCTTCTGCTGAGGTGAGAATGCCAGAGTTCATTTCCCCCCTGCATTTTAAGCTCTCATCTGCTTGATCTGACTTTCACTAATACTTGCAGTAAAAGTTCCAAGTTGAACTGCATAATTGGCTTAAAAAAACCCAAACTAAAATGATTTGTATACTTTCTGCTTTCCTGTGATGTTCTTATGATCAGCAGTAACTCGGGTGGTAGAGCCTGGCACTTGGATCCTGGTCCCATGTAGCATCTACTCTGTTTTGGCGAATGTTACCCGAGTTGTGGCTTTAGAGAATGAGCCACCTTTAGAGGGTTTCAGAAACTTCTTCCTGCCTTTGGCTCAAGCCTGTGGTGTCTAAAAGCCAGCCAGCCTGGTCTGTGCTAGTCTGATGTGGCTCTAAAAGGGAGAATCGTACTTGGGCAGTCTGGGCTTTGACGTCCATGTGCCGCGCATTCCCTGTCGATAGAAGGAGCCGCTCTTTGCCTCTCTCAGAGTGGATTAATTGTGCCCTACGTGGTGTTTTGTGAGCTTGGGAAAAGAATCAGCAAGTGAGCAAGACCTTGGTTTTCTTTTTTTGTTGCAGCGAGCAGAGGAGCCTCCTGGAGAAATGCGCAGCCACGGCCCTGAGCTCTAAACTGATCTCCCAGAGCAAGGAGTTTTTCTCCAAGATGGTCGTAGACGCTGTCATGATGTTGGACGATTTGCTGCAACTCAAAATGATTGGAATAAAGAAGGTGCAAGGAGGGGCTTTGGAAGTAAGTTCTGTCAGCTGGCGATCACAGCTCTGTCAGTGGGCTGACTAGCAGAACTGCAGCCTGGCTTCACAGTGCCTGTGAAGGAATTACCAAAGCAAACCAAAACTGTTAAAGGAGGAAAAATCGAGTAGAGGTGGATTTCTGCTCGTGAGTGTGGTGTCTGGGCTGCGGGACAGCCGGCGTGTCCGTGCTCTCTCCTGACAATGTCCCAGGTAGGTTTGGCCCCCTCGCTTGGGACCTCTCTGCTGAAGAGTGACACCCGCCACGGTCTCTGTGAATTGCTGTTCTGTGGCTGCTACTATCTGTAAACACTGCACAGAGCCTTTTCATTGAGAAGAGACTTTCATAATTACGCCATTGTCTTGCACAGACAATTAATTAAGTGAATTAGGAACGCTTCAGCATCTGTTGTGCTGCCTGGACCTGGTAGTATTCCGAGACTTGTAGAAATTGAGCCCCTGGGGCGGGTGTTGTCTCCTGTTCTGGATAGAAATTTCTCTCCCTACTCAGTATTTTTTGGCCCTTGTATTCTGCTGTCAAGACTCCTTGGAGGATGGGACAAATAATTTAGCACGTTACTTCTCTGGGTTGGCTTGTGAGACATCCCGGGTCACCTCACCCTGTCAGCTAGAGCAGAGAAAGTCTGTGCTTGCCCTAATTTAGAAGGGACGGGGATTTTCTGGGCTTTGGTGGCCGGGCAGAGCCGAGTCTGCAGTGGTTACATGGTTGTTGTGTAGGAGGTTTAGGTGCTGATTTCTTTCCCAGCCGTGAAATCAAGAAGCCCGCTACAGCGGGCAGGGTTGGGCAGGGCAGTCCTGCTGCAAAACTGGCCTGGAGGTAGTGTTGGAGCTGCAAAAACCAAACCAAAGTGAAAAAAAAAAAAAAAAAAGAAGAGAAAATCCCCCCACTGTGAAGCTGTGGAGGAGAAGTATCCGTCTTCAAAGAGTAGAAATGGGAAAGACATCAGAGAGAGAACAGATTGCTCCAGCCCTTGATCTTCAGGTTGTGCGTAGCATCTCTTGCTGCGGTGTCTTGAGGGGTAGAAATGAGGTGATAGAAGCTGGTTTTATGAACGGTTTATTGCTTATTTTCTCTAAAAGTGGGTTAATGGAAGGAGACAGCTGTTGGGGAGTGCTTGGTAAATGAGGGCTCTGAAAGCAGAGAATCTCCTCTGGGAGTTATTAACCCTGTTGAGAAAACCTTGGGAGGCTGAGCCTGACACAAATCCCTGTCTTCAAGGACTCTCAGCTGGTGGCCGGAGTTGCCTTTAAGAAGACGTTCTCTTACGCTGGGTTTGAAATGCAACCCAAGAAGTACCAGGCTCCCAAGATCGCTTTGCTGAACGTGGAGCTGGAGCTCAAAGCCGAGAAGGACAACGCCGAAGTCAGAGTAAACACGGTGGAGGTAAGAGCCAGAAAGGAGGAGCCTGTCCCGCGTCTTCCTGCCCGCAGGATGTGGTGTTTGCTGGAGAGAGCTGCTGGGATAACTGAGATTGCCTTCTGTGCATCCTTCCTCCCAAAAAATCAGCTTTGTGGTGACTTCTTCATGCTGCATGGGAACCTTCCCGGGAGAGGTTGTGCTTTAAATGCTAAAAGAGCCTCTGCAGAGTTAAGCAGACGAGGTAGTAATTCCAGTCGTTCTCTTTCCATTTTGGTGAAATGCCTTTATGAAACAGTCGTTCTCTCACACCGTGGAAAGTACCACAACGTTACTTGTGTTTGATTTCTGCATAACTGATATCTAAAGATCCCTGGGCGCTTTGCTTTTGAGGTCTTGGCCCTGCTGTATCTCGGGAATTGTTGCCTTAAAGTACCCCTTTTGGCCACGGTGAGCACGATGATATTTTCTCTTCTAGTGGGCTGCTGTGTGTGGTGGCGCTGCCTGTTTTTGTGAGCTTTCCCAGCTCTCAGCGGCCTCTTTCACTGCCTGCTACAGCACAACAGGTGAACATGAGGTTTCTCAAGAGCCACGAGGAAAAACCTCCGGGATAGATACTGTCTCCTCACCCTTTTCATTTTGGCAGAGCTCTCCTGTTGCAGGTGCCGTGGGACGGTGGTTGTGATCCTCCATCAAGTGAGCACTTGTCCCTTTCTCTCTCCCTGCTAGGATTACCAGGCCATCGTAGACGCCGAGTGGAACATCTTGTATGACAAACTAGACAAAATCCACAAGTCGGGAGCCAAAGTTGTCCTTTCCAAACTTCCTATCGGTGACGTGGCTACTCAGTACTTTGCAGACCGAGACATGTTCTGTGCCGGCCGTGTTCCTGAAGAAGATCTCAAGCGAACCATGATGGTGAGCTGCCTCATTTCGGGATAAAGACTTCTGATGTAGTTTTAACGGTGCCAGGCGGATTGTTCCCAAAACAGGGCAGCAGTTGGTGGCTGAATGCACTGTTCCTTACAAAGATTTGAAAATGAAAATGGCAAAATTTTTGCCGGTGTAGTTGTTGTGTAAAGTTGCCGACAGAGCTGTTCCCTCATGCTAGTTGCACCTGCACTGCTTTCCTTTTGTTTCTTTGATGTTAAACCTCCACCGATGCTCATAGTGTGTATTTTCCCTAGTTTTTGCCTGTTTTGTTGTAAAAGTTTTCTTTCCTAAGCTTACTTTGTGTAGCTTCTGGACACTAAAGCCTGTGAGTCGGCACTTAGAAGAAACATAATCTTATTTTGCTGTCGAGAATCATTTCCCCTGTTGGTAGCCTGCCTAAAGGCATGAGATGGGCGGGGAAGTAGAAGGGTTTTTTTTGCTGAATCTTGCCTGTGGGGTGGGTTTTGCATCAGCTAAGAGGTCAGGATTTCCCTGAGGAGGGGAAGCATGCTGGGCAAATTCGCCGGTCCTGTCGGTGTCGGTGACATCGTGTGTCTCCTTTCCGTGCAGGCCTGCGGCGGTTCCATTCAGACAAGCGTCAGTGCCCTGTCAGATGATGTTCTGGGCCGATGCGAACTCTTCGAGGAGACTCAGATTGGAGGAGAGAGGTAAATACGCCGGCTGTGAACCTGTCGTCCTGTGGAAACACTCCTGGTAGTTTGAAAACTCTTGACGTGATGGTGTGAAAAAAAAATAAATTCTGTTATGGCTCGTTTTTTGGAGGCTGAGAGGGAGCAGGAGAAAAGTTGCCCATAAATCTTAGTACTTTTACAAGCTTGAAAATAATATAATTTATTTCCCAGTGCCTTGTAGAGTGCATAGTGGTGTTTGTCCATTTCTAACTCGCGTTGTCCCCTTGGCAGGTATAACTTCTTCACAGGCTGCCCAAAGGCAAAGACTTGCACGATAATCCTGCGAGGGGGCGCGGAGCAGTTCATGGAGGAGACGGAACGGTCCCTGCACGATGCCATCATGATAGTCAGGAGAGCAATCAAGGTAAGGAGCTACCTCCCTGCTGGATTCCTGTCGGCGTTTTCGGACGGGCCTGGCACAGCTGTAAATTCTTCCTAGAAACCTTCTTCACACCCCAGCGTTTGGCTCAGGTCTCTGTGGAGAGATCGGGAGCTCCCAGCTGACGGGATGGAGCGCGCAGACGAGCGGCGTCGGATCGATTAACTCGAGCGCCGTTCCTTGGCCGGAGCAGCGCTGTCTGCGGCGCTGCCAACTGCTTTTTCGGGCACGCCTGATTTTTTGCCTTCTCTTCAGCCCAGCTGCAGCTTGTGCTCGCTGGGTCGTGGTGCGTTCTTTAACCCCCCACCCTAAAGGAAACAGGATCTTCTGGGCGCGTCGCATCGATCTTCAGTAGATTCACGTAGTGGGATTGATCTCACCTGCCTGTCGGCGCTCGTTAAAGCCACTCGTTCCCTCTCTCGGTGTCCCCTGGCTGGGAGCACTGAGAGAGGAGGCTGAGGC